TCTTGTCCCATCCATGCGCGCTACATGCCCAGCCCATCTCATTATTCTCGACTTAATCACCTTGACAATACTGGGGGAGGAGTACAGATTTTTAAGCTCATTATTATGCAGTTTTCTCCATGCCCCATCGTCTTCTCTCATAGGCCCAAATATCCTCCTCAACACCCGATTCTCAAACACCTGCAATCTATGTTCCTACCTCTGAGTGTTTCGCACCCATACAAAACAACAGGCAAGATTTTTGTTTTGTATACTTTAATTTTCAGGTTCCAACATAAATACCAATATTTAAAATAGTATCACCTTATTGTAGGCTATATTAGGGATCCTCGACCTTTTCCAGAACTAGGACCACATTCACCCTTGCTTAACGATTCGCGGGCCGCAGTGTTGTAAATTAAGAATTTTTTTGAAAACACTTATTGTATTAAAAGTGTTACTGACGTGCTGTTACAAATAGGTTACACACATTATTCAATAATTTTCCAAAACAAGGTAACTAAGTAGTGATATATTTGTCACTACTTTTGTATAAGTGGCGAATAATATCAGGTTTGCGAGAGGGGGAGGCGATTCATCGAAGTGTTCAAGTTAAACAGTTGCTCACAGCGACAGGTGCTGCCACATGTTGACGACATTAAAAACACCTGTTTTCTTGTATCACATAACTGCTTTTATCATGTATACTGACGCAAATTTTGCAACAAAGATATGAGGAAAGTACAAAATACACTCCAGGGATGTGTAGGTTCTGCGGGCCGCTTGTGAGAACCCTTTCTAAATTTTATTATTACTAGAAATGTGAGAATCAAGGTATGAATTAAACACAGAGATGGGTCATTGAAAGCAATCGCCAATACCACTAGTCCCAAGAACAATAGTTATGCTGAACTTATGTGCTGTGAAGTTTTGAAATACTGAGATTCAGGAAAACCAACATTGGTAGCAGTCACAATTAATATAATATTACGTGCTTATGAAATTATATTTTCTTCGTCGTGTATTTTCTAACGTAGATTGGAGATATACGTCACACATCACATAAGAAAAAGGTAGATACTATATGTTAGGTATATAACGTAATATTTTCATGTGTATAAATACTGAAAGTACCAACTTATTACATCGTATGTTTTGTGTAAATGCTATGTACAAAATATATTAAATTATATAAATATATTTTTGAATTTATTATTTATGGATTCTTATAATGTATATAAATCTGTATAATGCAAGTTATATGACTTGACAACATCTCCAGAATGTTCTGCTAAAGACGCTTTCTGATAATATCATGAGCTCAGGTTAACACGGACACCTGATCGTGGCATATTTATAACATTCCCAGGTCATCACTCACATGTCATAAATAAGAGTGGGAATGTTACATCATTCTGAAGTACGTGTACTTTAGATTTTACACACCTCAATTGGTCTTTCTGTTTACTTATACAGTAAAACTCCTCAACTTGGACACCCATATATCCTGGACACTCTTTTATATTGGACACCTTTAATTGGAACTGGCGAATATCCTATAATTTTACATATCCACAATACCCTATATCTTGGACACCCCTTTATCCTGGAACTTGAACATCCCTTTTGATGTATGTTGGACAGGTTCATGCACTTAGCTTCAATGCTTTTCAGGGAAACTTTTTCAGTTACATATTTTGTTATTTTGAATTTCTGACAGATGAATGCCTCCTCTCTGGAGGATTATCTTATGGACATTGACCCCATCATTGAAATGCATTGCATGTGTTTAACTACAGTTGTCCGTAAAATAATGGTGGGGTAACAAACAGTCATAGTTTTGGAACAAAGCAAGATAGAGACATGAAATAAACGTCAAAATAAAGAGAAACTCTCCAATTTTTCGATACGTAAACAAGTTCTAGCGCAAGCGCATGCGCATGCGCGTTGTGTTACAAGGTCAATAGCTGCGTGAAGCTTGTTAGTCGCCATGATTACGGTGCAGAGGAAGGTTCAATGTGTTTTGTGGCTTGCTAAGTTTGAGTCAGTTACACTTGTTAGGCGTGAATATCGTCGTGTGTTTAATGAAGAATCACCACACGAAAATAACATTCACCGTTGGGACAAACAACTCAGAGAAACGGGCAGCCTACTGAAGCAGTCACGTCCAGGACGACCATCAGTGTCTGACGATACCATTGAAGCTGTGCGAGCAAGTTTTCTGCGTAGCCCGAAGAAACCAATGCAGAAGTGTTCTGTAGAACAACTGTTCACAACGTTTTAAAGAAAAAGAATTCGTGCGGGATTACCTAAACCAAACATTTCCTCAGCGATGGGTCGGACGAGGAGGGTGGATAGCCTGGCCTCCGCGCTCTCCAGACCTTACCCCTATGGATTTTTATTTGTGGGGTTATGTGAAACAACAAGTGTTCTCTGTCCAAATAACAAATTTGGACCATTTGAAAGAACGGATCACTGAAGCTGTTTCATCTATCACACTGGAGGTTCTCGGTCGTGTATGGCAAGAGCTTTAATATCGTCTTGATGTCTGCTGGGCAACTAAATGAGCGCATATCGAAATCTACTGAACAGTTAAGATTCTTGGAGAGTTTCTCTTTATTTTGACGTTTATTTCACGTCTTTATCATGCTTTGTTCTTAAACTATACTACAGTATTGCAGAAGACACAGTTTTAACTCCATCAGTACTGTGCTTGCATTTGAGTTCAGACTGTGTTAAGAGAAATGGAATTTTTCTTTTTTGCGATGGGGAAGCGAAAATTGGTGGAATTAACTTTAGAAAATATTATTGAGGCTGGAGTGTAATGTGTAATGCATGGGAGTGGGTTTCAAAAGATTATTATTAATACTATTGTCATTAATTCTTAATTCAAGTAAGCTTACAGTAGTTGGTGTATAAGTAAACAGATTATATTGTTATTAGACCACAATCTGAAAAATCCCTCAATCTTGGACACCTCTGTAAGTTGGACACATTTTCGTGGAACCCCCAAGTGTCCAACTTAGAGAGGTTTTACTGTACAAGATACATAGGCCTACAAACCCATCACTATGCATCTAATCGCAGTAAACGTACACTACATAATAAGGAATTCTCTTCATGGTGCATCACTCAATATCCACCCTACAAAACATTCTCCCAAATACGTCTGACAATTCATTATCAATGTTTTAGAAAATCGATAATGATCGATTTGAGTTTGATACGAAACAAATTTAAATTCTTCTAATTTTTAGAACTTTTAGTACAGACCTCAATACGAAATTTAATTGACTGATGAAGTAGTTTCGGAGATGAAATATTCGAAAGGATAGATAAACCTACTTTGTTTAGCGTTCATATATTGCAAATAATGCAAAGAACGCAATGCACATCATTTTTATTTCTATTATACACAATCATCTAAGCAATCAAGACGTGCTGCCATCTAATAATGTGTGTGATAGTCTGGAGGCAATGTTTCAGACATTAGCGCTTCAATTATAAACTACACGAATATCTGCATCAAATCAGAGAGACCGGTGTCGTGTGCAGTAATCTGTGCCTTTCCTATATTCTCCCTCCTGTGATTACAATTGACAATTTAAATAATGGACAGGCAAAGAGTAAAAAGTGTTTCAGAACAACGTGGTTGTAGTTCACTGCTGACGTATATGTAAATTTTTCGTCACGCCTGTGGCACAAAAATGTTTTGGTTCACATTTATTCATATTGATTTTTATTTTCTCTAAGTCCACACGTGCCATACGTGGCATGTGCTTAAGGAAAGTAGTGATCATGGGTGCTCTTAGTCGCTACGTAGACTGTATTGACGTGAGTTTTTATGTTATAATTATCTTTGAAACGATGAATTCTAATCTGACGGTGTCCTAAAACAGTTTTCCTATAGAGTCAGTGTAGTGTGAAGTTATGGAAGGCATTATCTTCAAAATTATATTTAACAAACTTTGGAAAATTGATTAGCAACTGATGGTCCAATTTATAATGGCCATTTAAATTATTCTACAGTGATACATTATAGGACATATCTGAAAACAAATACATCTGGACTCATCAAGGCTGACAACTTCTTAATTGTTTTAACCTATTTTAAAATATATCTTGACCAGTTTTAACCTATCATTTTATCATTATTTGAAACAGAAGAATGATTAACTCAGGCATTCGGTGAGAGATTTTAAAGCGAAAAAATTCAAGCCACTTTTGAGAATAATAATTGTGACTTATTGAAAGATCCTGCTATAGCTAACTATCTGATGATGGTCTAACAGAGAGACAGAAACTTGCTGATGAATAAAAAATAAAACATCTTGAAAAGTGTTTATATACTGATAAATGTTTCTTATTAATGCTGATATGCTACAACACAGAATGAGTAATATTAAACCAACAAAACAAATTTTATAATAAAGCTAGTATTGCTGTGTTAAAATGAAGCCAGTTTTGAACTAATGTCACTTTCTGTTTCAATTACGGTATATATTTGGGACTTTTTTGGTATGTAACGTATATTGTCAGTTTTGCATGGTGGTGCTGAACCTGTTTTGTCTATTAAGTATCCAGAAATGCTGTACTGAATCATAGCAATATAAATATCTTTCTGCAAAGAAAGTTTCAGGCTTTTGACTTTGCATATTTTAGATTATGAATTTTCCTGTTTTAGGTTTGTTTGGAGAAAGTAATAATTGAAATACGAGTGCTTGAGCATGTGTTGGAAGTCAGTGGCAAAAGAATGAGCACAAACAAATGGCTGTTGCATCAACATTGGCAGGAAGTATACTATATTCTCCATACTGCTGCTGAAAGTCATATGAAGAGCAAACTTTCTGGAACTGTTGTAGCACAGGGGAAGGATACTGAAGTGGCGTAAGTTCTTTATTCTGTATTTGAATTACCTAATATGTGTCATTAATGGTTTTGACTTTTGTCTTTACCAGATATTAGCTGTTGTTTGTATCCTGTTTGATAGTATCCATTTCTTTTAGAACTGTAGAATGGATCTTCAGAAAATTGATATTGGGGAGTTTTGCTAAAATTTGTCAGCATATTCTAGTTTTGCTTAAAACTGGACAACAATTAACTGGGGTAGCTCAGTCAATGTAGTGATTGACTACAGACTGGATGACCATCTGTGGCAGGGGCAAAGGATATTTCTTCTAGTTTCTGTGTCCAGACCAGCTGCGGTTCCTACCGAGCCTCCTATGCAGAGGGTTTCAGGGCTCCTTTCCCCAGGTGTGAAGTGCAACTTGGGCACTGTTGCTGGTCATTCACCTTCATCTAGGAGAAGGAGCAATACCTCCTCTGCTCCCCACAAGTACCAAAACTATGTACTGGGGACAGCTGTACTTTATATGACAACAATAACAGGCACATGAAGGCCTACGTGTATTTCTGTACAATGAAGTGAGTCATCAACTAGACACACCATGCAGTCATGGGGAAATTTTAAAAAAAAAGTTGCAAACGTCGTGTTTCGATGCAACAGACAGACACCTGTGCTCAGTTTAGAGGATTCTTAAGTTGTAAATCTAGAGACAATAACAGAGTAAATTGTTATGCTATGAGAACATCTCCTAACCTGTTCCTGCTATGGAGAGCTGTTTTGGTGTAGAAACACTGACAAATAAGTTGTACATAGATTGGCATTTTCTGAATATTGACTGGTAAAAATTTATCTCAATTTCCCCAATTTCCCTGCCTAACCACTTGAGCCTGAAGATAATGTCCATTATCTTTATCCTGACCAGTCTGGTACCAAGATTAAGAATGCATGGAGCTATACATCCACTTTTACTTTCAGTCAAGAAAATGTTCATCAGCAGAGTTTTATATTTTAATGACCTACAAAATGAATTCAGCATGCCACCAATAAATGGAAGAAATTTCACCTGTTAATATATCTATAAGCAGTGATAAAATTCATGCACATTTATGTCATAGAAAATAACCTCACGTGGAACAACAAATTTTGTACTGAACATCATGGCTGAGTGGTTAACACTTCTGTTTTGTATTTAGAAAGTTCCGGGTTCAAATCAAAGCATATGCTTGGCTATCCTGACAGGTTTTTGTTCTTTTTCTTAGACACACCAGATAAATTATAGGATAGTACTTTAAATGAAACCATGATCCCTTCTTCCACATTCTTTCCAATTAATTATTCATTAATCATCCTATCATGTGATGCCATATTATCTTAACTACTGACAGTGTTGTTAAATAAACCACATATAAATAAACGGATGTTACTTTCAAGCAAAACATCATTTTTATAATGAAACAGTGAAAAGAAAAATCATCAGATCCATTTTCTTAGGGTTTTCTTGTCTCCCAGCTGTTGCTGAAGGTACTGCATAGCAATTGTCATTGACTCTACTCTCTGCACGTTTACTATGTAACACCATCTACACCATCCCATTACACAAACCAGGCTATGCGCCAGCTAACAGCTAAATTAAATATCCACCAACTATTCACTATAATTCATATAAATATTTTGTAATTCAAATTGTTTGATTTACAATATGAGCTGGGATTTTAAAAGAATCAAAAATAGACAGACTAGAAATAATTACCCTCGAAAATACCAGGCACCACGACAAACTTCATAGGTGAAATGGTGCTTGGAATTTGTTGAGTCCTGGCTAAACATATCATCATGTTACTATAGCCACTTGTATTTTTTAATTTCATACCAGCAATGTTGGTGTGTGCACTTCTAAAATAGGAGTGATACAAGAACCACATCCATGAATGTTTTGAATGGAAAATGCAGGTGTAGATGGTTGTCATCTAATTAGTTCAACAAAAGCGGTGAAGTGATATAAAGAACATGGAAAGTAAATTTATCTCTGAAACTAACTAGGCCTACATGTCTTTGTGGAATATCTGTATTTTTGCAGTTTGATGTTTAAACCACTTCGAGGAGTCAATCAATATATGATCAGCCCATACAAAAGCAATGGTGATCTAGTAGATGCTCTTCAAGATTCAGGTACAGATAAGATTATAATTAAAATGTTCTTATTGATGATAAAATAAAGTCTTTTAGGTGCTGAAGTTTACTCAGCTTTTCCTAAATCAAATTTGGAGCACATGCAATTTTAGAAATGGTTTCTACCATTTAGTTCAGAGTATTTTGTTTTCCCATGCACCATCTAAAACTCAGATATTAAAACGTACAGAAATATAATTTTACTTATTGTATTGTATTTCCATATTTGATGTTTTACCCTCAGGAAAGGGCATAGATTGAGAGGGTGATTTAGTATAGGTTGCTGAAGAGAATATCTTGACCAGAGAGGAAATAACAGTAGACTGGAGAGTAGTGTTTAATGAGGGCTTCTTGCTTTGTACTTTTCACCAAATTTTACTTGTTGGATGACCAAATCATGGAGGATGAGATGCACAGTGCATGTAGCTTGTATGGAAGATCCAAAAATGTGTACCAAATTTTAGTTGAAAAACCTGAAGGGAGAAGCTGACTTGTTGATGATAACATAAAAATGGACCCTAAGAGTAGGATGGGAGAGTATTGATTGGATTAATCTTGCATAGGATAAGGATAATACACAGTAATGAACCTTCAGACTCCATAAAAGATGGAGAATATCTTGACTAGTTGATTGACCAGTAGCTTCTCAAAGAATCTGCTTCATAGAGTCAGTGTCTGATAAGGGTTTCAGGGGTGAAGAACATTTTAATAGTTTATGGGTACAGTGCATTAATTTGTATATCATCCAGAAGACTGGTATATGAAGCATATACTAGTTTGAAATTGTGAAGATGAAATGTATTCATAAGTTTTGCGAAGTATAATTTTTGCTTTTGCTTTCCATATTAGCTTATATTTTGTTTCAGGAGAAGGATGGCTAACATTAATACCTTATAAGTTCATGATTGTAGCAAGTGTTTCTCCAAGACATATCACTAATATTTCCAGGTGAGCATTATTCAAAGAACCATAGTTTGTGATCACTGTATTTTATTTCAAGTGTTATACACTATGTTTTCACAATATTTCTTTCTAGAAAAACAGTTGCAGAATTTTTCATCACTTTCCAGAAATCTTTTCATCCCAAATCATTCCCAACCATGATACTTATGGACTAAATCATTAGAGTGAAATGCACCTGTTTTTACAATTGTCAACACATCAAGCAGCAGTTCAGATTTATACTTAGAACTAACTTACCATAAATTGGTAACAGTATTAAAACATATGTGATGGTTATACTGTCATGAATCAATCAATTATCAGAGTCTCATTTATGAAAATAAGTGTACCACACAAAGGTGAGGTTGGCATTAAGGAACAAGAGACTATAAAGAATGCTTTCTTTTCTATACTTTTTTGAATAGTTTAATTTAATTTAACAGCATTCCAGATTGGAGTTCTGAGTGGATTCAATTGTATAAAGTACCTGTTTCACAAACAGTAGACATACTTTGAAAATCACTAATGCAACTATGCATCACATTATATACAATTTAGCATCATGCAGATAGTTTTTAAAGTTGGGCCTTCACGACAGAACAACACTTATCTGCCTGTGATGATTTGGCATGTGGTCATAATTTATTTTACTGTAAATTTTAACACTGTTCCAGTTGCTCTTTCAGTAATAAAGTTCAGATGTGGCACTGTCACTGATTTCACCTCATGATTTTACTAATGTTACGTAAACTCTTTTTCCATGCAGTCATCATCTTCATCAACAACTTCAAGGATTGGAACCAGTGACCTGTTTCCATTTAAATCTTCTGTCTCTGTTTGTATAGATCTTCCAGTAGTTCTTTTTGCTTGCAAACAAATCAAAATTTTCTTTGAGATACAGTTTTCTTCCATCTTTTTGAACATGTTTAAACCATTCATTTCTGTAGTCAGAAATTGTATTTCTGACTTCACTCCTATTTTGTTATTTGACTGTAATTCATGCTGCTGGTAACGGAAAACACATTTCACCAGCATCAGCAATTCCTGTTACTGTCCAGGCTTATGATCTGTATAAAAGAACAGGACTTGCCATTGTGTTTATGATTTCATATTAGTATCCTTAAGAGATTCGTTTTATGGTTATTTTCATTGTGCGATAATCCAGAATTTTATTAATTTACTTTCAGTGTCTCCATAGTTTGTAAATAAACATTTTATCATCATGTTTTAACATTGTACAGTTATGTTATTGAGACCTATTCTTATGAATTCCAAGATGGTCTTGATCTCTTGTCATTTCAGCATCCCACGTCATGTCATCCCCCTGCTTAGCAACAAAATGCCAATTTTGTAAGGCATTCTGTACTCTAATTCATCATAAAAGCTATCCATTATATCATCTACATCTTCAGTTAAGGCATACACATATACAATAGTAATATTGCTTAAACAATGTTGAAGGATTAAATATGGCATCCATCTATAACCAGTTCTGTATATATATACAGGGCTATTCAAAAAGATTGTCGGGGTTTTAAAAAATCACTACATGTAGTGCAATTGAGGTAGGAATATGAATCCTGTTTTATTGTGTAGCAAAACTCTCAAAGTTTTTTACGTGCATTATAAATGCTCAACATATGCGCCTTTTGTCACTCTGCAGACAACTACACGATAGTCCATTTCTTCCCACATGCCCCAGCGTGTCAGCGGTGATGTTTAGAATGGCGGCTCTGATACGCACCTTCAGATCCAGGATAGTCGCAGGTAGAAGGGGGACAAAGACTTGATCTTTCACGTAGCCCCACAGAAAAAAATCACATGGTGTTAAGTCCGGTGAACGAGGTGGCCAAGACAGGAGCTTCTGATCAACGTCGGTCCCGCGTCCGATCTATCGCTGCGGTAAGTGCTGGTTTAAAAATGCCCTGACTTCCCGATGGAAATGAGGTGGGGCGCCATCTTGTTGCAGTATGAAATGAGCTCTGTCCTAATTCAGCTGGGATAGCAGCCATTCAGTGACCATATCCAGAAAAGTCAGTCCTGTTACTGTCTGTTCGACGAAGAAAAACGAGCCGTATACCTTCATTTTGGAAACAATGCAGAACACGTTCACTTTGGGGGAGTCACGCTGATGTTCAACGTAACAATGGGGATTTTCCATCTCCCAAACTCGAACATTGTGTTTATTAACTTTACCACACAAATGAAAAGTTGCTTCATCACTAAAAATCAGTCTGTCACAAAAGCCATCTTCTTTCATTAGTTGTTGCAATGCAGTGCAGAAAGCCCCCCTTCGGTGGTGGTCATCAGGTGTTAAAGCTTGAAGCAGCATTAGGTGATATGGCTTCATTCTTAGTCGCTTCCGTAACACACGCAAAACTGTGGGTTGCGGTATTCCGAGTTCCCTGCTACCTTTTAGCACGCCGTCTCCACAAATTGTGCATACCACCTGCGAATGGAATTGTCGGAGGGCGGATCCTTCCCAAATTTCTTGTGGAAGTGCCGCTGGATAATGGCAACGGACCAACTTTGATGATATTCGAGAGTACAAAAAGCCTTCTCCTTACTGTTAGCCGCCATATTGCAAAAGCTGACACCTGGCGGCCAAACGTGTACCTACTGGATGGAGGGCGGTACAGAACAAAACTCTGAGAGTTTCTCTATCCACCAGTGTAATGATAAT